ATTTTCGTTACCCCCATACACAACATTGACATGGTGCTGATCCTCAGCTAGCTTAGATAAATGAGGCGATGTCTGAAGGAACTTATTTGATAACCACGACGATGCTCATGTTCGCTTTTCTCTCGCTGGTTCTTATCAATATCGGAAACTGCTGCCGATATAATATACCTTATTTGTATTTGGAGTATATTGACAACACAGTGCATTACGGGGCAATGGGGTAGGGATTTAGCATTCATTTGAATGACAGATATGAAAGGCATTCTGCACTTAGCGATATCGTAACGTTCACAGCTTGCAAGGTTCATGTGCGGTTTCCAATGACGTTTGCCGGAGCGCCGTAAGACATAGGAAATTTGCATTGCCTCGATGTTCGAAATGTGTAAATTGCCTAATACTCAGATCTGTATTAAATTTGCAATCGATTTGACTGTTCGTCTGGAAAGGTCAGTGCACTGTGCGATCAACGATACCGACCGCTCCGTATGTATGCTCGGTAAACAGAATCCCAAAAGAACCGCCCGCAGCTAACGGAGCGGTCATACATTGCCCAAGGTAGGGGTTAACGGTGGCCATAAATGTAAATTAGCTTCGATATTGGCGCTGGACGACAATTGCTAATAATTAGAGTCGCTAATCCGTCTTACTTATGTAAGGTCAGCGCTGTCAGCATGATTTTTCGAGAAAGACAACAAACCATTGCCAGGCAGCCACACGGTCGAGTATTTGAGGGTCAGAACTTCCAACGGAGCATTTCCTAATTACGACCGAGAAGCAAGATCGTTGACCGCTCGGCGACTATCGGTTCATCGCCATCCATCATGCATGCTCTGATGGCTAGCTTAAGAAACGCGGCTAACCTTTATGACGTAAGCATAAGTTATAAGGTAAAGTGGGCAAAAGTAAGTAACGTATTCAGTACCGTATTAACCCGTTTTAAAAAGCAGTCTTCGGCGGAAGCCCCCAGTGAGCCACTGTTAAAGGGCTGCCAGTCGCTTTCCACAGCAGAGGTCATTACGTTGGATGTTTTGAAACCGTATTTTATACGTATGTGTTGCCATCGCATTCGCAGAAGATGATACCTCCCGTTTGATCCTCTGGTTTCTTGTGCCGCTGGGACTTCGCGTGGTGCTTCGTCTCTTACAGGGTTGCGTGCCAATAACAAGGTGATGATCGGTTACGCAAAGAGCATACTGCACTTTCTCAAGGAAGGACTTATATGGTCCCACAAAATTGGATGGATAAACGTGCA